GGAGGTCAAAAAGAAGTGCATTCAAAAGTCGACATCCTGCCGAGTCCGAAATGTTATAGGGTTATGCTGCATTTGATCGTCCACTACCCTGTCAAGGTTTGATAAATTACAGGCCATTTATTGCGAGCTGGGTAGACCGTTGTAGTCTTGAAGACGGAGACACGATCGCTGGGACAAGAGCTTTATTAGCCTGACGTTTCGGATCCCTGATCAAACCAAGCACCAGGGACAATAGCAGATAGGAGTGGTTCATGCAGAAGGGGCTGCAGTGTTCATGGGAAACAGTCGCCATGCTACCGCATACCTATAAATATTCAAGGATCTCTCCCCCCCCCCCCCCCCCCCACTAAATCAGGAATCGTTGCTCTTGGTGTGCTGACAATTCGATGGTCGACATTCGCGTCGTTAATTGCTGCAATCTCATCACGTGCGTTGGATGTTGGTTTGATGATTGCCAGACCATCTGACCAACCGACCCTGACGTTGGGAAAAGTGTTTACCTGTGCGCTCCCTGCGTGGCTAATTACCACGCCTAGGCGAAGTCTCAGCACCGAGTATGGAAGAGGAAGGTCGTTGCGCTTGTTAATAGACGGGGGGCCAGTGAACCATGACTGAAGCAGCTTGGGGCTCCTGCGAATGTCACCTCTAGCGAAAATTTCGGCCTCGTCGAATTTGTACGTGTGGCCGGATCTTGTCGAATGAGCCGCAAAGTGAGAGCTGGCGTCATTTCTCCGCACTGCTTCAGTGTGCTCGGTTATTCACGTTCGGAGCAGTTTTCCGGTTGCTCCGACGTAGTTGTTCTGTCCGCAACTGCACCAAATCCGATAAATGACTCCAGACGTTTCTTGCCGTGGCGGCGGGTCTATCGGTTTCGTTACCTGACGCCTGATGGTTGCCTCCAACACATGTGATGAAATTGCAGTAAATAACGACGCGAATGTCGGCCATCAAACAGTCATCACACCAAGTGCAATGATCCCTGATGAAGGGGGGGGGGGGGACCCGTGAATATTCATAGGTACGCGGTAGTATGGTGACTGCGTCCTATAAACACTGCAGCCCCTTGTACATTAATCACCCGTATCTGCTATTGTCTCTGATGATGGGTTTGGGCAGGGACTCGAAACGTCAGGCGGATAAAGTTCTTGCCTCAGTGGTCGTGTCTCCTTCTCCGCAACTGCTTCCCGGGACTCGTCTCTTCGCTTCTATTGGCAATGAAAGGTTTCTTCCATACAAAACCCTGAGTTGTCTCCGACAGAAGTCACCTCCGGTGGGACTAGGGTGTGTGCTGACAGCAGTATAGCATAACTACGGGGACAAGAGAGAGAGAGAGAGAGAGAGAAACAGAGCGAACTTGTGTTCTAAGTGGCGTGCACTTAGACACGCGACATATGGACGCCTCTGACCGTCAGGAGGTGCATGCGTCTACGTTGTTGCCGGCCAAGGCAAACGGTCGGGCTGTAAGGTTATGACATTAGAGAGCGCTCGCGGAGAACGTGGATGGAATTGAGGCGGTGGGACGATTTAGCGTAAATGAGGATGGTGATTAAGCGAAGACACATTAATTCTAAAACCCTTCCCCATGTTGATAACCAGGAACGCGGTTCTTGAAGCGACCATTCACTTAGGAGTGGAGACAAGAATTCGATTGAGCACGCAGTTTACGAGCACTTACCTAGGGCTTGATGTAAATATGGTTAAAAGTACTGTAAGGTGCGGAACCGTGGGTGTAACGCCTCTCCCTTTGTTGGTACTACCAGCAAGCTTCCACACCGTTACTAGATATGATACGATATTGTAATTCTAGCCTTCTTCAAGCCTTTAGCCCAACTTTTATCCGGTAATTACTCATTTAATTATAGCTTAGTGGAGGTGATTTTAGCCAGATTCAACGCAGGGTTCTTCTTGGTTGAAGGATATGCAGCTTCAGTAGCGAACTATCTCTACCGAAGTCGTCAGTCGGCTAGACAGCAGGGAATACCCTCATAGCTGTGCTGCAATGCCCGGATCGGCCCAAGAACCCTGCAGTTGTCCGCCCAGATGGTTCAAGTTAGGCCCCCAAACAAGGACCCCTTCGCCGCACTACGTAACAAGAGGACAGTCAGTTGGAGAACACAAAAAAATCAAACAGTAAAACATCTAGCAAACAGACGGCGTCAGGACACCATTGTCTCCCGAATCGATGCTGCTCTCAGACTGCCCTCAAGCATTAGCTGTCCAAAGATCCTCAACTAAGTCTCCATAGTCGGGAAAAATTTGTTTGCGCCGGACATCCATCCGGTCAGTCCTCACCCGTATGATTGTGAAAGATTGGTTGGTGGTTGCCTACCGTCGCCCCAGACGTTCACCGATGTCGTCTCGAATGAGGCAATCCAAGCTCGCCATGACATCCTCGCGAGAATACCAGGCTACCCATCGAAGACGACCAAGGTGGTTGAAACACGTTTTTGTCGCTTATCCCTTGACCTCAGTGTTAGTGCTGCTGATCCGACGCCCCTGTTCACGTGGAAATGTGGAAGATCAGGTCAAATGAAAACCTGCCTGAGCTCATCGGAAACACGATGATAGTTCGCGGGCCTCCGGTATTCGGTCTTCAGACTGAAGAAAAGAACGATTCGTGCTCGCCATATCCCCTAATGCAGATGTTCGCGCGTGGAGTGGTACGATCTGCAACAATCGAAGTAGTCTAGGTGGGGCATTATAATAGCCGCATCAGATATAAGTTCAGCGTTGCGTAGCCACTGTGGGTCTTTCTAAATACACTTAGCCAGTTGATTTGTAGGCGAACCCAGCCCAAGACGGCGAGGGGTTTGAGATGCGCTTGAGATCCGCTTTCAACATGCCCACCCACGTCTTCGGTTGCCTGTCTTGAGGTCGTCACAGGACGACGTCCAGTACGACCATGTCTTAAGTTTGACGCAGCACGTAGTCGAACTGTCTGATTCGGCTAGACAAGGATACAGTCCAGTGGCTGCATCACTGACGTCGGACCTGGAAGACTGATCTGGAAGGTGTGGGGCAAGAACTACCGGTCAGATATTTGAGGGCGGGGTGTATATCCTGTCTGTGCTTCACATCCGCGACCTCCTGATTACTTGTACACTCACGCTGAGGTCCCAGTGGAGGCGAAAGTGGGGCTCCTATCTCATCAATTTCCACCATAATCTCAACTTTAATCTCTTATAAGAACATTTGGCAATGGTCAACTACGCTGTCCTGGTCCCAAGTGTAAGTGCGGTAGTGGGGAAAGTAGCAGAAACTGAAACGGAAAGGGCAACCTGATGTATGACAAATCTGCTGCAAGACTGAAGGAAGCCACGAATCCTTCAAAAAACCTGGCTGATGGGACACACAGGTCAGCAATGCCCCAAACCCTAAGTAAATCCAACTGTAACCTCAAAAGTAAGCCTACTTCTTAACGCAGTTATAAACCTAACGCTAACCCTAAACTTAACACTAAACCTAACCGTTGACCCAACCCAAACCATAACCTTAAACCTACGCCTAATTTCCCCCCTGACCCAAATCCTAACCCTAACCTTAACATTAGCCCTAACACTGATCCTTATTCCAACCTTAACACTAAACGTAAAATTAGACCCCAATCCAAACCCTTTATCTAACCGGAACCCTTAAGCTTAACACAAACCCAGACCCCAAAATCAATTCTCAGTCTGACACTAACCCAAACTCTAAAACTAACCCTACCTCTAAAACGAAACACCAGGTTGCCCTTCTCCGTCTTAGCTAGAGCTACTTTCCAGCTAACGATTTCAGCATCCTCCTTCAACTTACTTTATTTACAATGTCAACATTGCGTTTTCACTTGGAACCAGGACAGCGTAACCGATTCCTACCGAAAATTCAACCGACTATAAGTCGAAGCTGTCCCCCGACTCAAGCACTTTACCGTTACTCATGACCCTTTAAAACAAAACCCTTTATTAACGTGAACTTAATTTGTCAAGTTATTTGCCAGGTTTTGTGAAGACACGCCGCTACTTACCTGCGTAGAAGTCACGCCGTTGTTCAGTCATGAAATTAGGCCCAGTCCGTTAGCATTTCTTGCACGTACCGTGACATAAACCGATTGTAGCAGTTTTGGCGGCCGTTTTGAAAGGCATTACGATGGTCCCTTAGGAAACCGTTTATCGTGCCTTCAACCTTTTAATTTTCAGCCAGAAATTAAAACTCTGAAATGATAGCTCTTGCTTCGGTTCGAAAACCTGCTTACTTTTAAGAGCACAATGACGAAACAAATAAAGTCACGTTAGAAATCTCGAAGTCCCGGTGAATCTTCCCGACTGCAAGCCTAACAAGGTTTCTAAACAATAAGGGAGGGGGGGGTGTGACGGTCTCAAACCCGCTGTTAACTTCTTGTAATCACACTTGTTGTTGTAATTGGGGTTTTCACTTCCGGTAACCTGCCATCTGCCCTGTGCCGACCTGAACAAACAGCCTCACATGGCAGATGCATCACAGGCGTGTGCAACCCTAACCTAGCCTGCATGTGAACCACACGAATCTGCCTGCAGAATGCGTGATGGTGCAATTCTATTCGGTCATAACTGCACCAGTTAACTTCCACAGTACTACTTAAGTGCCAGTAGCCACAAACTGACCAACAAGGCACATCGTTAAATCCTGAGGACCAGTTTGTCAATTTCTAAAGGCCTATTGCTCAGACGAAAATACCCGACGTTGCTAACTATCGCTAACTTGACGTCGACTCAGGCTCGAAGACTAAACTGGGTTTCACCTTCCGTGCTTCTCACAGCAGACATCTCACTCATGAAAGAAGGAATTTAAATGTGCATGCCTGAGGAGTCTTTCTACTTCTCCGACTTGTGATCGCTCGAGATCGGTAGGTCTGAAGGAATTCCGTCAGAACTGGAAGCTCAATCTACGTGGCCCATTGCATATAAGAGGTCATAGTGATGTGGGGATCACGCAAATCTCGAATAGATTGGCAAAGTTAAGAGATCCGGGTTGATTATTTGATGAAGAAGAAGAAGAAGAAGAAGAAGAAGAAGAAGAAGAAGAAGAAGAAGAAGAAGAAGAAGAAGAAGAAGAAGAAGAAGAAGAAGAAGAAGAAGAAGAAGAAGAAGAAGAAGAAGAAGAAGAAGAAGAAGAAGAAGAAGAAGAAGAAGAAGAAGAAGAGCTCACCTAACCATCCTGCAGCTTACAAAGTCCTATGTCCTCACAATCGTATAGATCAGGACCAAACAACCATACCAGGCTTAAGAAGGCCGTACAGGGGCAGCCCGACGGCGAGTTTACTCGGTAAAGAAGAACAAGAGCCGCCAAACCGACCACCCAACACTGGTTCAATCACCTCCCCCGGATGGAGTGGTGACTCACAAAGCACGCAGACAAAACGCCCGTCAGCCATCCCCCGAGAGGCCGAGACAGCGAGAGGGATGAAAAATCGATCAGTATGAGGCCGATCAACGTGACACGCCACTTGGGATTTCTGCTCGATTAAGTACATTATACGCTCTGACAATGCAGAGCCGACCAAGCTCTTCGAAACGTCAGCGCCTAAATAAACCTGTTCCGGTGGGCCCATCTTCTTCAAAAAGACCTCGAATGCCACGGATTAACGTTGCAAACGCCCAACATCTACCAGCATGTCCGCGCAGCCACCTGACGTGAATAGCACGCATCGGACTCGTCGGACATTTTCGTTCCCAAAACCATGACAAGTCATCCAAATCAACGTTCCAGGCACTAAGCGTCTAGCCCATCAATAGCATCCAGGACACAAACCGACTCGCCTACACTTCCATCCTTCCCACCACTACTACCACCGGCACCATCTCCAATATTGGTCCGCTTTCAACTGGTTTCTATTACGTTCGCACCCTTTAAATTGAATATCGGTGTGGTGGTAACTTTTAAATCCATCACACAATGACCGTTGAATCAGCGCCTGGAGTCCACACATAAACCCATTACTGGTTTCCTGCCCAAAGACATTTATACATCCAATAGACCTGTTCGGCCGTGTGTGCCCCAAAAACAATTTTCGGAAAAACAACACGTTCCAGGCCCATCACAACTCTTCGCCCTACCCGCGTGAGAGGTCGACCATCGATTTTGAAAATATCCACCGTGTGCTCCCCAGCGGGGTGAGAGCAGACACGGTGACTTGCGCGTGAATCATTTTAGGTGATCGCAGACTTGCACAGCATCTACCGCACTCTCTCTTCCCCAGACCCCACCTGGACCCGGTATAAAGGCAGAATCAAGAAGATTGAAGGAAGGAGAGTGCATAATTGGCTAGCACAACGAAAATCCACACTTAGGCGTACTTCCACATCCCTGGTAAGGAACGAACGCTGACCAGGACTTAACATACAATAAGAGAAAAGAGGATGGGCGGCTTTGATCCCACAGAGTGGGGCTGCCATAGAGGCCTCATTAGGAAGGAGCCTGGCTCACAGTTCACCACTCCACACAAGCAAACGCAGGCAGCCTTCCAAGTCACAGCTTTTAGCGCCCTTTGACAGCTTCAAGCGCGCCAGATTGTTTGTAGTGGGGAAAGTGCGCTGAGTCCCCGACCTCATCCTCCATTTCCCTTCCCAGGCCCAACCACCCTCCAAGCCCGGTAGACGTCTGGCGCGGGGAATGGGCGCAGTGGCTGGCAGAGCTAGAGAACCCGCCTGCGCGTGCCACACACACGACCTGGCCCCCATATGCACTCGGCAGGGTCAGATACACTGAGCGGCATCTCTTCCAGTCGCTGTTGCACGAGGCCGCGCCATTGGAAGACCGCTTTCTTGGCGTCGGTCCGATGGTTCATGTAGGCCTTATGGAGCCTGTTGTTTTTAGCGAGCAGTTGGCTGATGTCGGCGTCGTTATCATCGAACCAGTCCTGATGCTGACGACGTGCACGACCGAGGATGTCCAAAGCAGTCGAGTGGATAGCAGTCCGTAGTTGATACCACCCATTCTCGACAGTGGTGTTGTCGTTCAGGGCCGGCAGTGCTCCCAGGTGCTGGACTAACTGATTGTCGAGACTTAAACGGTGAGTAGGCAAATTAAACAGAACCGTATTCAACTTAACTGGTGGTCGTTTACCTTGTGGCCTCCTGTAGGGTTGTATTCGGAGCCGCATCTTGGAGATGACGAAACGAAAATCGTTACACTCATCGGCGTCGCGAATCGACTTGATCACCAGCACGTCCTGTCTATCTCGTCTGTGAACAAGAACGTAATCCAGCAGGTGCTACCACCGCGATCGGGCTGCATCGAATTCGCCTTCTTCCGCATCGGCAGGCGGAAGAAAGTGCTGGTCAGGAGGAGGCGGTGTTCCGGGCAGGTTCGCATGAGGGAATCAATGTCGTTGCAGCCGACGATTCCGTAGGGAGTGCAAGTCTTCATAGAACTTGGTCTTCGTCTCGTCTGAGCTGGTCATTGCGGGGGCATATGCACTGACGGTGATGACAAATTTGGATCCTCGAAGAGGCAGGGGCAGATTAATCAGTCGATCTTTTACGTCCTGCAGCAGGCAGAGCAGTCGTTTCACGACACCAGCGTAGCGTCGCTCTGTCTCTGGGCGGCCGCTTCAGATGAAGTTGTAGCCGGCACCCACCTCCTCCAGTTGGCCTTGTTCAGAGAAGTGGATCTCGCTAGAAGCAGCGATGTCCACCTTTAGCGCGCCAGTTCTCGCGCGACTAGCGCCGTCTTCCGTTCCGGCTGACCTCTCCTCGGGTTGTCTAAGAGGGAATGAACATTCCAGGTTGCTAGTTTGAGCAGACTCACTCCAGGGTGGGGAATGCGGACGGGGGTTTTGTTTGTTCACTTGTTTCGACCGCAAGCGGTGAATCTGCGATCCACGGTCAGCATACAGATGATGTAATCCCAGCATTTCCTTGGACACCTCCTCTAGCTCGTTCCCTGTGGGAGGGTAAGCAGTGTTGTCCTTAAATAGGGCTGTCCAGACATGTCTGACGGCTGCCGGACTCCACTATGGACCACGACTTTGTTTAGTGGAGGGCGACCCGAGTTAGTATGGGTCGCTTACAGGATTGCATGTCAACCTCTCTACACGACTTTTTGAAGTGAAAGGCGAATAATGAATGGGAGGGTGGGGCAGAGAATGGAGTAAGAGAGTGGAGGATTTGGGGATGAAGGAAGAGGCGAAAGGGAGGGAGGATGGGACGGAAAGGAAAGCGAAGTTACTGAATGTGGGATCGCACACAACACCGATATCCTCACCTGGTTTAGTCCAACGGTCAGGGCAGCTACCGTGGTGTGGCCGCTAAGCAGAGCCTAGCTTCGAGGAGTGAGAGATGAGTGTAAGTTAGTGGACGCTAGACGTAGTCACCACCCGTGCAAGACAAGTGGTGAGAACTGCTACGACCTTCATGTGGAACCCAAAACTGGACACCCCACACCCTTCCCTCTCACCGGCGTACCTACTCACTCACCCATCTCTAGACTACGCCCGATTCTAGTCCAAAACGCGCGCCACACGGCTCCTTTCAGCCAGACACCACACCTCACTCCTACAGAAAGCATGAGGTTTGGTTCACCAGATCCGGTAGCGCGGGTGAAATGTCACATGTTTGAAGATACGCATTCCGCTTAATCGGGAAGCATGTCGTTTGGTGGGCTGTTTGGCCACTGTGCTCGCGCTCATGTCTGGTCATCTTAACTTCCCCTAATCAACGGGACAAGGTACGAATGAGAGGAGAAAGTGAAGTAGGTGCGTAGAAAGTCCGTGACACTACAAACGCACAAGTCACCGCTACTGGACCCACCTTTTGAAGTAGTGGTGAGTGTTGTCGCCTGCGATGACCAGACTGTCAGACTGCCTCTGTGGCTTATAAGAGAAACGTAACACAGAATGACAGAATGTTAGAATTGAGCCGGTGTACTGGAAAATATACACTCTCATTACAACAGCAGACCTTAAATTAAAGTCTAGTGAGCGTTAAAAGGCGCTTGCTATATAGGTTATACTTTTTAGTCATATTCCCTACCACAAATGATGCCGTCACCTAAGCTCCAAGTTACATATGTTATTTATATGAAGTAGAATTGGGCAAACGGTCCGGTGAAATTTCTCATCGACAATTCCATTGAATTAAGTCGTCTTGTATGTTAGCATTGCCACTTGCTTCGCCTTCCCCGTACGCGTTTAAATAAAGCCATCATGAAAATATGCATAATGCCTTTTGGCGCGTTCAGTAGGCCGTTTTGGTGCTTCAACGCGAAACCGAGCGGCGATCGACAGAGGTCAATTGATGCCACCTATCAACGCATCTGGACCCCTTGTTCTGCGGCAGGGTCCACCAAACGATCCATGCGTGGAGACCGGGTCCACAGGTCCTGCGACTGTGCCCTCCGTCTGCGACAGTAACGTTAGTACGGTTCCCAAAATGTTGCCTCAGGAGGTTACTTAGATGTTCTAGGCCAACAAGATTCCATTCTCTCCTCCACGGGGATTGTGCGCAGCTCACTTTGACGGTCAAGTGGGTGTTGCTTTCACGAAAATCCTTTGTTAGTCCTCATTATACGTAAAACGGTTTGGCATATGAGGGTTATATGTAATTCTTTACCACTCCATCATCTTAAAGTATACAGTCACATTGATATGGTAAATCACTACACATGTTTACGTGTCGTGGATAAAAGCTGTGATAGGCTAAGGCAGTTTTGTTTAGTTTAAATGCCAATTACCGAAGGAGACAGTTTTTTTAATAAGCTGGTCTGACTGACTTCGGAGTCAGTAGGTAGAGTTGAAGTTCTTAGGTGGGTGGAGTTGTATACTTATTGAGGAGATCGGTAAAGCGTGGAGGAAAAGAGGCTGATGGGCAGTTAGCCAAAATCCGTCAATCTTGTGTCCTCGGTGGCTTGCTAACCGAGCAGTGATTGCTTTGGCGCCTATGCGTGCGTCATATGAGGACAGCAGACTGAGCTCTCTGGTCGAATGGGCAGTACCTCTTCTGTTATCTTATTGGTTGGTTGCGTAAATGGTTCGGGAGGTTCATCTGCTTGCAACGTGTCCCAGGGGGATTTATGAGCTCATGTACGCATATAAATAAGGTTTTGATTGAATACTCCGTTTTGCCTGTCCACCGATATGTGAAGGCGTTGTGGACTGCACAACTTCGAATTCTTTTGGAAATGTTGCAATTTAACACCGTTTTGTTACCTCACTGGCCGCATATATTCTGACTAACAATGCCCCTATTAATCTCTCCTTGTGTGTACTTGGAGACGGCGCCCAGTTACACCTTAGGGAAGGAAATACTTGATATATCTTTGACGAGCAACAGTTATAAATAGCCCGATCCCACATTAACTTATGAGTCGTATTATACCACGCTTGGCTGTCGCGCCAGTTGGCCCCATGGGCCCACGTGGGTTTTTTAAGTAATCAAAACGGAAACTGTTCCTGTTCTAAATAAACATCGACTTTAACAGAACTAGACAGGGTTAAAGTTGGAGAAAGCCCCTCAAAGAGAATAATCATAAAAAATCTGAGTACGAACGGAGGGCATAATGCAATGGTCATGGTAGATCCACCTCCAGGATAATTCCTCCCGCCTCCCCAGTTGGCGTTCCTTAGGAATTTCCGAGAAGCATACATTTCTTACATTGACATATAAAAAGGTGAAGGTTGGATTATGTCTGCTCAAAATTCTGATTAAAGCATCGACGCTTTCCTACAACGGTCAATTCAAAACAAGAATAAAATTGTTATGGCACTCCCACCACAGTGTGGGATCCGAGCCAGGCGTTGGTGGCACGCCTAGGTGCGGCTTCGGTCGTGCCAGCCTCCAAATCTGACTTGTGTTGGTGAAAATCCTGGTCATTTGTTGTGTGGACCAGGGGGTGTGGTGGAACGCCAAGGTGAGGATCCGTCCGAGCCATCCACCTGCGGCCTCCCTCGTCTCCGGTCTTCTTGACTCTGTCTTGACACCGGGCTCGGGCGAGGGAGGAGGAGAGAATGTAGGTAGATGCTACGCAAGTCTACCGGCACTATAAACCCCTGCGCAAGTCACCGTTCCTGCTCCCATTGCTGCTGTAACTGTGGGGCACACGGTGGACATCATCAAAACCGATGGTCGAACTGTCATCAAAATTGTTAGCCTGATCTCCACTTTCAACACCATATGTGGACTCACCATATCCGCCCTCTATACCATGCGATGCATGCCAAGTTGTTTGTTTTCTATGGTAAAGGTAGTGGCTAAAAGCCAAATGTTAGGAAACATATTTTGCCCACTGGCTCTTTCTGCCAGCTTCGCCTTTATTTTGGCGTCGACAAATCTTCTTTTTATAGGTGTTGGCAAAATTTGAATTCAGAAGAGCATTTGGCGAGCGTACGCGATTTTTCGACAAATTCTCATCGGATCAGTGCATTTATCTGGGAACGATGTACAAAGTAAAACGTGTGAGCGATAAGAACTTACTGAAAGTACGCGTACGCTCGCCAAACACTCTTTTGCATCGCTCAATTGGAATTTTTGTAACTTATATGCAGTCCGAAGAATTTAAATTTTTAAAGATCTGCTATGATAGAATTTATTTTTAACGTGGCCTCTGGGGCACATCGCCACCCTGTAGATTTGTTTGAACGTCAAAAATCACAGTACTCCATAATAGCGTTTATTTATAAATGTTGGTTGTCCTGACAACTTAACTTTTCGTTGCCTCAACAACTTTACAGAAATCTTAGATTGTTTAGATATAAGGACATTTGGTAAGAAGAAGAATCGATCGCTGGAACAACAGAGACATTTGGAACGCTTGGCGTTGTCAATAGTGACAAGTTAATATTTTGTAGGCGCCATCACGGTGAATACCCCAAACACTGAAAACAAAAGTTCAGAATGAGAGGGCTACTTTTGCTTAGCACCTCGTAAGTTTAGTGGTTTGTTAAATTTTTCCCTCGTACCCTTGTATAATTTGGAAAAAGGCGGG